ATCTAAATATTGACATTTGTTTTAGGATTTTTTTTGTCAGAAACTACCTGATAAAACTCATAATATTGAGAAACTACCTAATAAAAAAAATGTTGTAAGAAACTACCCAATAATAGGTAAAGTGTTGTAAGAAACTACTAATAAAAGGTAAAATGTTGTAAAATACTACCTCTGCCGGATTTACACCATTGGCCCACGTCAAAACACCCTGAAACCACCTCTTTCATCCCTAAAACCAACACAACATGCTTGAATTCGCCTCCACCATGCCGAAACCACCCTCCAACCCCCGAACCACTACCTCTAACCCCAAAAATCAACATCCCGAATCACGAAACTACCCTCACCAACTTGGAACATCTTCCAACCACCCCAAAAATAACATTACCACTTTGAAAACCAACCCCCACGGTGGTTTTGGGGATGTTTTGAGGTGGGTCAACCCGCTATAAAATTAGGTCAACGGCGTAAATTCGGCCAAAGGTAATATCTTACAACAATTTACCTTTTATTACGTAGTTTCTTATAACATTTTTTTTATTAGGTAGTTTCTCACAAAATTTAGGTTTTATTAGCTAGTTTCTAACAAAAAACCCTTTGATTTATATAAAATATAATTCCTTTCCAAAAATATTAAACTCTCATTATAACTATTTACATGTAATTTAAATATTTTCTCATGCATGTTTTTATTTTTAATATACTCCATATTTTTTAATACTCGAGTCATTCTATTTATGCAATTTTTATAATATTATTTTCAAAAATATTTAACAACCGTGCATTGCACGGGATTTAACCTAGTTAAAATAACACTAAATAAATATCATGAACTCTACCTTTTACTTTGTTTTTGTTTTGATACAAGTTAAAACGGTCTCCATCAAATATTACATGTTTTACAGAGGTGTCAATTTGGACAACCAGATGGAGTTTGGGTCTGGTCTATTCGGGCTGGGTCTGTTCAGGTCAGATATGTTCGAGTTAAAATTATTCTTTTAACTCGAATCGGGTTGGGTCGGGTCAAATTCGGGTCATGGTCTATCGAGTCCGGGTCGGATATGAGTCGGGTCAACTCCAAATTGGTTCATGTTTGGTTCAGAAAAATTCAAATCGAGTTCAAAACGGGTTTGACCGGGTTAATTTCGGGTCGGATGAATTTGGGTCGTGGTGATTTTGGTTAGAATGATTTCAGTTTGGTCAAGTTCGATTTGATTAAGTTAAGGTTGATTCAGTATGTATTTGGTTAATCCTGATTCAAATCCTTTTTGTGTTTGTCTAGATTTTGGTTGAGTTGACCAAATATAATATCCAAATAAGGTCATTTTTAAACTAGAGTAATTATTGAATTTTTACCTTATTATTGGGTCGATATCAAGTCATTCATGTGTCATTTCTCATATTGTGTGGTTAATTATTACAAATGCGAAGAATTAGTTTTTCCCATTCAAGCAATTCTTGTGTAATATTTATCTTGGAGCCAAATTTAAATTGAATAATTATCAATGACTATCATACCTACGTACATAAGTGAGAAGATTAGTAATGAATTGAACTAGAGATAGATTGATAGACTGATAGATGATAGTCACATATGGTGATATACAAAAAAAATGTCCTCTTTTTAAGGTACTACTCTTCAATTGTTTAATCTCATGAGGCTACGAGTAGTATTAGGTTGCTTTAATACTAATTAAATTTGTATAAGATATTTGTTAGAGTTTTAGACATTCTAACTTATTAATAATTAGTAAATTTGTAAATATATAGTAGTATAAGAACTTGAAAAATAAAAAAGGTTAATAATAGGTTAGGTTTAAAATTATGGTCGGGTTAAAATTGGATAGGGTTAAAATCGGATCGGTTAAAATCAAGTCGGATTAATATATATCCAATGATTTCCGTGTACTGCACTTATCCAATGATTTCAAAATTTACCTCAATTAAATTAAAAAGCCTTATTTTAGAATAAAACTATAAGAGAAAAACTTTGGATCAAGTAAATTAGGATTAAACTAAGTGAGTTGAAATCTTAAATGAATTTATACCTTTTTAAATAACGGTTTTTTTTTCACCAAATACCACTAAGTAACTTGCTTATTCACCATATACCCATGAAACTTTCCAAATTCATTATATACCCCCCAAGTTTAACAATAATGTCCCAAATGTCTAAATACCTAAAGGACGTCAACTCCTTTAGTCAGTGAGGGTTAATTGTGCCACGTGGCAGCATATGATTGGTCGATTTTAAATTATTCAATTTTTAAAATAATTAATTTTAAAAAAAAAATTATTTAATTAATTATACAAAAAAATTTGAATAAAATAAATAAAAAACCTACCCCACCCATCAACCCACTCACCACCACCATCACTTGCACCCCCACTCGCCTAGCCACCCTCTCCCCCTCCCCTTCACCGCTGGCGTCTAATCTCCTCCCTCCCACTACCGAAGACTGTACCCCGATATCCCAGCCACCATCCCAACCCATCACCCTTCTAATTTCTCGACCACCGCCCACCTAGAACCCCGGCTCAACCACCGCTCTTACCTCTTTGTCCTCTGACAACGACCAACACCTAGACCGAAACCTTAACCATGACCCCTCTCTTTCTCCTCCGCCTAGATCAAAACCCAAACCCACGATCCCCCTTTCTTTCTCCTCCGCCCGGACCAAAACCCAAACCCACGACCATCCTTCTCTCGATCTCTTTCGCCCAAGCGAAACCACAACCCATGACCCAAACAACCTCGGTTTGAGTTTCGACTAAGGTTGGGTGGCCGGGGTTAAGGTTTCGATGGGGGTAAAGGTGGTGGTGTGGCTGGGGTTAGGGTTTCTGTGGGGGGTTAATTGAAGGTGGTAGTGGTGGGGCGGGGAGAGCGGCTAGGGTTTGGGTTGGTTTTTTTTTTTTAATTATTTATTTTTTTAATAAATCGGTTTTTTTACAATATACCCCTGAGTTTTTTGTTTATTCATCATATACCCTTAAAATTTTTCAAATTCACCGTATACCCCTGAGTTGTTACAAAAATTCACCATATACCCCTAATGATAACAAGATGAGTGGAATTTGGTTAATTATGCATCGAAATCACCATAAATCTCTCCCCCTATCCCCGAAACCACTCCTCTCCTTTCTCCAACCCCCGAAACCACTCCAAATCTCCATAACCATATCCGTATGATTAATTTTGAGGATGAGAAAAGGAAATTTAGGGTAGTTTTGGGGGTGAAAAAAAGGAATGTGGGTAGTTTTGGGGGTAAGGGAATATATTTATGGTGGTTTTAGGTCATAAATAACCCTAAAGAATGACGAAGTTAACAATCATTAGTCATCAAGGGTATATGATGTATTTTTATGAAAACTCGGGGATATATGGTGAATTAAAAAAGTTCAAGGGTATATGGTGAATAAACAAAAAACTCAGAGGTATATGGTGAAAAAAGCGTTAATGACCTGTTTCACTTTTACCTCGACTGTGACCCGACCCTGACCCGCATTGACCCTGACCCGATCCTAACCCACTAAATATTCATCATGACCCGCAACTGACCCGCCCCGCTAATGACCCGCACTGACCCGAACCACCCCTAATTAACGGATATGAAGGAATTAATTCAAGTAGCAAATTCAAAAACATAGATATGAAGGGATTAATTCGAGCAAATTCTGAACATAGATTCGAGCAAATTGAAGACATAACAAGCAAATTAATTCGATCAAATTAAAGTCTTACCTTTGATGGTCGTAGTGAGAGTAAAAGTATGATGGGAGTGCGTAGACGAACGGTGGTGAGGGACTGTCAGAGAGTCTAACAGTGAGAGACGAGCGGTGGTGAGAGAAGCGGCGGACGACTTAGTGAGAAAAGGGGGAAAAATTAGGTTTGCCGCAAGAGTGAGAAAGGCTGGAAGGTTAAAGATGGAAAATGAATCAAGGTTTAGGTTTATATATGAAGAGGAAAATGGGCTGGGGAATTGGGCTTAATATAATTCGGTTTGGAAATTCGGTTTTCAGTGTTTGGAAGCCCCAAACCGAAACTGATCAATCCATTTTTTTTCTAAAATCTCAAACCGATCCAAGTCGAATTTTCAAAAAAACCGAAGCAATTTGGTCCGGTTCAGTTTTCGGTTTTAATCCATATCAATTTTCCCCTATTTATCATGGAGCTACCTCCTATTTATTACAACTGCCATATATCCTGATGTTGTCCTTTTTTCATTCGTTTGATTTCATTTTTTTTTAATTATAGTAACTACAGTATTGTATTTTATATTAACGTGTGAAAGGTCATTTTTAAGTTATCGACAACTTTAAGGGCAGCCCTCAGGTATACTAGATTCCTAGATCTCAATAGGGTACCATTAATCTGACTTGTTTACATTTTTGCACTAGCAATGTGAGAAAAAGTTATAACATAATCTTTTGAAACTAGTGATGTTTTTCCCAAAAGAAACGTAAATATAAATTTGAGACAAATGAAAAAAAAAATAATAAATAAATGTAAGAACTACGTGTTAAATTTTCTTTGCGTTTGAATATCTCAAGCTAGAGTCCAAATAAGACAATCAGAAAGGTCATTTTATCAAGCTACTATATATCAAAGAAATATTCTCTTGGCTATTCTATTCCGACACACCAGGATATAAACCCTTTCATGAACAGCAAGTTTTCTTATTTTTTACTTTTAGACAGATTAGGGCATGATCTTACGAGAAGATGTCCCTAATCTACTCTTGTATCTTACTTTATATATATATATATATATATATATATATATATATATATATATATATATATATATATATATATATATAGGAATAGGATCATGTAAAAACAAGTGTTAAAGTAAAAACTGAAAACATTTAATCTGAGCCGTTCATCAAATTGTATGGCTCAGATTTGTTTCCTCTTATTTTCGGACATTACTGAATTTCTCTCTCCTCCTTAATTTTCAAGTTATTTTCTCTCTCCTCTCTCTTCTCTCTTCTCTTTCTTACTTTCTCTCTCTTCAACCAGCTTCTCTGTTTTCTCTCTCTACTGCGTGTTTCTCTTTCTTCGTTCTCTCTCTAAATGCGGCAGAAGGAGAAAGGCGGCGAGTTTTGGTGGATTCGACTTTCAGGAGAAGCGGCTAAGGTATTTTTGTAGTTTCATCTGGTATTTTTGCACGATTTGAGGTTATTAGGTTTCTGAAATTTTGTTTGCTGGAATTTCATGAGTATTTTTTTGTAGATTCAACCGGAAATTTAATATGTCCATTGTGTTTTTTCATGTATTATTTTTGTTTAATTTTGTAATTTTGCAAGTTTTTTTGTTTATTTTTTTGATTTGATTTGATTTTTTGAATTTCAACTTAAGTTTCGTTTTAGTAGGAGTATTTTATAAATGTATTTTGTTTAATTTTGCTTAATTTAAGTAAATTAGGTTTTTATGTGTATTTTTGCTCGAAATTCTACTTTTGTTGTTCTACACCTTCTTAGTAACACAATTTTTGTGTTTCTGATTTTAGTAAATTAAGTTTGGGTAATTTTAGTAACAAGCATGTTTGATTATGACGAGAATAGCTCAAATTAAGATAATCACATTTCAATTTTAGATGGTAAGAAGCTTGATTTGATTTGAATTGAGAAATAATTTTGTTTTTGTTGATTTAAATTGGAATGGAGAATTGGACAAAAATTCTGAGCATGCAGTGATAGAATGAGCAAATTTTTCGAGTGTTGCGTTTGAGTTTACTGGTGAGGAATTAACTCTGTACGAAGAAGAAAATAGCGCGATATTAGTTATAGTGAGAGTAATATGTGGTTGAGGTGTGAAGGAATTTCAAGTAGGATAGAATTTCATTACTTAGTTTATTCATTATTTTTGTCTTCAAAGTGGCTCTCAACTTCTATTTTCAGAATATGAATAGAAGAGTAAAAGGGACAAAATGCATATATGTTTTACAGAAAGTGCTACAGTTTGGTATTTTATGGATTATTACACTTCTTCACCGGTCATGGAGAAGGGGGAGGGGAATTGAAGGAAAAAACTAATGTGAGGTCTGGACTCACCTTGACTAAATTCATCATAATAATTCTAACAGTAGACCTGTATGTGACCTGACCAAACAAATCCAAACCGAGTCACTGAGAACTTGAACATGACCCGAACTAAACCTGACTTGAATAACCCGACTTTAATAACCTGTTTTCCACATACTGTTTGAGGTTCTCCATAAATGGCATATGCAAACCAAGATCCAAAAACGTTTCCACCTTTAAACTTCATTTAATCCCCTGTATCTATCAACTACCAGTTCTGCAAATTGTCCTGGTTGCTTATTATCCACCATCTTACAATAACTTTAGGTCCATGCTTCTCCTTATAGACTAATTTCAAAACTACGCAACCACCTCAATTCAATTTATTCTCAACAATTACCAAATTCTGACATCTGAAGAGCAAAACCTACCAGCTAAATGCATGTTTAATATTCTTTCTTTTTTACTTTGTGTATGTGACCAGTAAAAAAGGTTTATATTCTTATTGGTTCAGGCTCCATTGTTAAGGTTAGGTATTCAGGAGCTATCTGTTTACTTCACTTTTGTATGATATTTACTTTTGGCTCTTTTGGCTCTGTGTTATGCTGTGCTACTTTGTGCTGCTTGTTGTGTTTGCCTAGGAGCTAACTTGCTTCTGTTTGCTGCTCTCTGCTGCAAGGCTGTTTGTGCTGTTCTGTGAAGCTTTGTTTCTTCTGTCTGCTGCTGGCTACTTGTTTTTCAGCTGGGCTGTTGCTGAGGGCTGCTGTTATGCTTGGCTGTTCTCTAGTCCTGCGTTGGTGTTCCTTGATGCTGTTGTGTTCCTCTCTTACAACCTGTCTTTGCTTATTTGTGTAGCTTTGTTTGTTGCGGTGTTGTTTTGTTGTCTTGTTGTTTGCCTTTGTTTGTTTTGGTTTTGGTTGTTTCCTAGCTTGTACGTTGCTAGCTTAGTTGTACCAGATGGTGATTGTGTTTCATGTGTTTGGTTTTGGAGGGGTGTTGGACTATGTTTTTTTTGAAGTTTTGTTTAAAAAAAAAGGTCACTATGCTATAAAAAGAGGCAACTACTTTGGTTTCTTTTGTTTATCTTTTTGTATGTCTTGTTACAGGGTGCAACAAGGATTTTCATTTGATTTGGATTAGATATATTCCTATGGTGAGAACTAGAGGTGGTGCAACTTTTAAAAAAAGGAGAGGCTTTCGTAGCTCAACGGGAGGAGTTAAATTGAAAGATACAGGAGGTATGATGAATGTTTGATTTTTAGATTATTAACCTTAATATTCAATTTTTTGAATTATATGATGTTAATTTTTGAGCAATACTAACTAGTAACACCTGTTAATATACTAGTTGCTTCTATTATGATAGTCTCCTAATACTATAGAATGTAAGTCCCTATATTAATATAAAAGTTACTATATTATTAGTTCTCTATGTAGCTGAAAAAGGTCACTATATCAATGACAATGATTATTATTTTTAAGTTATTAGTTTGCTATATTATAATTGTTTGCTAGATGAAAATGAAGATAATTGTATATATAACTATATGCTTGTGTGTTTTTGGTATGCTTATTCTTATTTAGGTATGATTAATGTTTGATTTTTGGATTATTATACCTGAATATTCAATTTTTTTGAATTATATGATGTTAATTTTTGAGCAATACTAACTAGTAACACCTGTTAATATACTAGTTGCTTCTATTATGATAGTCTCCTAATACTATAGAATGTACGTAGGTCCCTATATTAATATAAAAGTTACTATATTATTAGTTCCCTATTATTATAATTGTTTGCTAGATGAAAATGAAGATAATTATATATACAATTATATGCTTACGTGTTTTTAGCATGTATCAATCTCGATGATGAAGATGAAGAGCATATTGATGGTGGAAGAAAAATGATTGATGATGATACTAACAGAGATAAAGATGCTTGTATTGAAAAAGGATTGAAAAAGAAAGCTATCACTAAGAAAAAGAAACCTTCTACTATTGAGAGTGCTATACCTTTGTCAACTGTGATAGAAGGAAAGAAGGGGAATGAGTCTTCTTCTTCACATGCTATTGTTTTGTCAGCTAAGATAAGAAAGTTGGATGAAAATGAAGGTCTTAAAGTGAAGAAAGTGAAGGAAAATAAGGATAAGAACATTGTGATTCATAGGAAAGAATATGCAATCATAGATGGTGATGTACATATGTAAGTGAATATTTGTTTCTTTTTTTTTGAAGTTTGGTTTAAAAAAAAGGTCACTATGCTATAAAAAGAGGCAACTATTTTGGTTTCTTTTGTTTATCTTTTTGTATGTCTTGTTACAGGGTGCAACGAGGATTTAAACACGTTGCAGGCCATTTCATTTAGTAGAGATGATTAAAAAAAATTCAAATGATCAAATCAAGGTTGTTAAAGAAATTGGCTTTGGAGGTTTGTTATCTTTGAAGGTGAAACGAACTGCAACTGATATGCTATCATGGTTGGTAGATTGTTTTGATCATGGTAGTTTCATGTTTACTATTGATGGTAAAAAAGATTTTGTTGTGACTGAATTTGATGTGTATGATGTTTTTTTCCTTCCTTGCAAAACATCTAAGAAAGTTGAAGAAATTTCTCGTTGTGCTAATGTCATCAACCCTGATTATGATTTAAAGGTTAAATGGAGGTCTCATTTTGGTCTTATGGGTGAGAATGATCAGATTCCTTTGGGTTTTTTGGAATCTAAGATCCCTTTACTAGTAGATGGCGGGGAAGAATTCAGACAACTTTTTATCATGCATGCTTTTTCAAGGTTTTTAGCACCTACGTCCAACAGAACTGTGGATTTGAGAATTGTAAAATGTTTGGTTGATGTTAATCAAATAAGAACTTATGATTGGTCAAATATGTCTTAGATAGACTTTGTGAAGCTGTGAAGAGCTACAAAGAAGGAAATATAGAATGGTTTTGTGGTTGTGTTTTGATGTTAGAGATTATCTATTTTCATCGATTGAGGTTTAGGAATGTTGTGTTAAATTCTACAATACCTTTAATTCAACATTGGACTGATGTGGATATAAGAGATAGAATTAGAAATGAAAAGTTGTCCAAGGGTTTTGGGTGTGGCATTCTTGAGTTTGATACATATCCAGTGAGTGAGAAGTTGCAATTTGAGGATGGACAAGTTGTTTGTAATCCATTTAAAGAAGCTCCTGTGAATCAAATTTCTAGAAAAGAATATGTTGTTTATGAAGGTGTCCGTAGCAATGTTAAGGGTGTTATTCAGTTTGAGCTACATGCTAGTTCAATGTCTAATGAGGAAATCCGTTCAATTGCTATTGATGTAAGTATTTTACCCTTTAATTCTGTCTGTGTGGGTTTTTTATTTTTTTTTTTATTTTTTATTTTGTTGTCACAAATTATTTTACTAAATCTAAGTGCTACATTTTTTTTTCACAGGAAGTTTATGAGAAGTTTTTGCTCATGAAAAGAGATTTAGAAGTGGTATCTAACTTCTACATGAATGAGTTGAAAGTCTTATTTCAAACTCGTAAACCTAATGATGCTTCAACTTCGACTCCTCCAATGTCCCAAACTGATTTATTCTTTATGGATCCTCGTGTTTATGAAATTGTTGATGAGATTGTGTCTCTTGTAAATTGGGTAAGCAAAGTGCCTAATGGTTTGGATGATGATGATATTGATTATAATGGTGCACCTGCAAAAGAGATTAATGTTGTAGTTGGTGAAGTTCCAAGGATAGGTTTTGAGCATGTTTTGAGTAATGGAAAATCTAAATGCTCCCTTGCTATGGATGTTAGTCTCTTTGGTGATAAAGTTACATATGTAACTCAATATATGAAGTCAAAGTAATAAGGATATGAAGGTTTTGGATGCTGTTGTCCAGGAACTTGTTGACTACTGCATTAGTGATTATCATGGTTTCGATCTCAAGTAAGTCATGTCATGGTTCTTTTTGTTATTTATTTTTCACATTTTAATAATAAGTGACTATGCTAATATACATGTGTCTTTTTTTTTCCTTGTACAGTGAGGTGTTGGTATCTTTTGGCAAACCATATGAGATTACAAGGAATGAATTCCTTTCATTAGGTGAACCGACTATTGTTATATCTTCTGTTATTATTGATTGTTGGGTTTTGTTGCTTAATGAAAACCAGAAGAGTAGTGCACATGGACCTCAAAAACTATATTTTGGTGTTTCTCAAAGTGTAAGTACCTTTCGGCTATTCAGTTACTATATCATTATAATGGTAGTTGTTCATTATAAAAAATTCATAAATTAATTTCACTATGTATTGAAAACAGTCACTATGATTCATAAATTAATTTCACTATGCAATGAAAACAGTCACTATGTAATTCAAGTAATTACATTTAAGAAAAATAACTCTACCTTCTAATTTTTTTTAATATTTAATTTATTAATGTTTGATCTTTTTTAGGCTTTTTTACTGGTTGCAAACACAGATAGTAACACACAAGACATTGACAAGCTATTTGACATTTGGTCAAGATGGTTATTCATTCCTTGCAATGATTTTGATATTGCAAATGTTGAGTTGGTAATACATTGCAAATGTTGATCAATCATTTTTCAACTAAGTACTTTTATAATAAGTTTTTCAAGCTTAATAGTTGTTTATTTATTTATTGCAGATATTTGTTCCTATACTCTTGAATGAGCACTTTTTCCTAATTATTGTGAATTTGAAGGAAGAAAAGCTTCAGTTCATTGATAATATGAGTTATGATACAAAGTACATGAGTGAGGTTGAGAAGTTCTCTGATGTTCTGGTAAAAATATGATATTTTGGATTTTATTTGTATCTTTCTAGTTATGATATGCTTCATGGAACCTAAAGTATTAATTTATTTTGCCTAGAGTGATATGATGAGTACTTTTCTTGATCAATGCCTTCCTCAAAGTAATGACTCAGTGAAGAACATGATTGAGTATACTTTGGAGTCACCTTCTGTAAATTGGAAGTCTGAAAACAGAAGAATAATGATAGTGGAATTTATACTATGGTCAACATGCTTTACTTTGATGGAGCCGATGTGTTCAACTGCGATGTTTTGAAAACGGTTATCTCGTCTCATTTTTTTTATTTGGCTTTCAATTTTTATTATATTAACTATTTCCTCCATGGAATTTAACTATCTTTTTTATTCTAATTTTTGCTTAAAGTAATATATTAAGTTTCAACTAGACGGGCATTGAGAGCTCAGATTGCTGTTACTCTGGTATTGTCTGATATGAACATTGTCAGAGATGAAGTTCTTGAAAAGCTATCTGAATTCAGATTAATAAGGGGTCAAGTTGCAAAAGATGTTTTTGATGGGATTAAGAAGAAAACAAAGCAAGGTAAAAAGGAAAAGAAAGTATAGGCAGACTAACGAATATGTGGATGAAGTTTTTTGCTCGGAAGTATTTGTATTTTGCACAGAAGTAGGAAATCTAATGTAATGATATAGTTTGCATCAACAAATGGATAATCTAACAAATTTGTATAAGTGTTAATATAGAACAATATGATATGATTCCAGTTCATACAAAGCTTTTGAATTGGTGGTATTGGTAGTTCTTTTGATATGTAATCCTTAATTGACATTCAAGAAGTTTAGTGAAATATATATTAGTTATAAATTTGGTGCCTATGGTATAAAAAAATGGTATCTATATTATTTAAAAAGGTATCTATGTTATTTAAAAGGTTTCTATATTATAAGATCACTATGTATTTAAAAAGGTGGCTTTGTTATTTAAAAGGTTTCTATATTATAAAGTCACTATGTATTTAAAATGTTATTAGTTCAATATGTTATATATAATTAAGTTATAATGAAAAATTGTCACCATATTCATTATTCTATTTTGTATACATATGTGACAAGTTTTCAAGTACCTATGATAAATATTTACCTAAAAATGCCTAACTTTTTTTTTTTCTCTTAAAAAAGAAAATAAAAACTTGAAAAAGATATTATATGACTTTTTATAGTCACTATGTAAGTAAAATGACATTATATGAGATAAAAATTTCCGATTGCTATGTGATGTAAAAGGATCACTATGATATGCAAGAACATTACTATGTGATTAAAAAGATTTTTATAATAATCTGTCTCTATTTAAATAAAAAGTCGAAATGTAAGTTAAAAGTATCGTATTTATATTAATCTATTCTTAAGCTATTCAATTAGTATATCAATTAAAAGAACGAGCCCCTCCTTCCCTAACTTTTTATTGGCTTAATCGATGTGGGTTAGAAGAATTGTTAAAATCTGAGTATTTTTTATAACGGTTGCTATATCATAATAAAGGTCATCATATCACTAAAAAGGTTACCACGGAATAAGGTTCCAATACGATGAAAAAAAATCACTATGATATTATAAACACGTGCTATAATATAAATTGAAGTTATTATATGCCAATATGTCACTACATCAAAATAAAAATATAAAGGTCAATAAAAAGTTAACAATAAAAGGTCACCCTATCAATAAAATTTTAACAATAAAAGGTCCCTGTTTAATATATGTGAAACAATAACAGTCACTGTATCAATAAAAAGGGCATTATAGCAATATGTTATTTCTCTCCTCTCATCTCCTCTATTTCAGCACTAGGCCGTCAGTAGCTGATGTTGCTTCTTGTAAATATGAAGTCGTTTTGCAGCCTTTCTACTCTTCTTTGAAATCCTGAAATCATGTACATGAACATATATAAAGTGAAAATCCAGTGGGAAGTAAACATAGTAAAAAATTTATTTATTTTTTTCTACAAAAATACCTCATTCAAGTTCGATTTTTTTTTGCGGACAATTCCGACTATCATGGTTTGTTCTCTGACCACAAGTTCTACAAAGTCTAACTTTCCTTTGGCTTTTCTCAATAGCTATCTCTTTGTCAGATTTTTTCCTTTTCCCACTACCACTACCTTTGCTGGAAGACTTGTTTGGAGGAAGAATATCAACAACTATGTCATTAGATCCAACAAATAATTCGATATGTTTATTTTTTGCCTCACGTTTATCAACTGGACTTATAGAATCCAAGGCTTTCATCTAATTTTCAAAAGATATTAGCTTAGACAACAATGACTCAAGGCATTCAACTTTCTCCTCACAAATACTTACACATGAAAAAAACATGTACCATAAATCACCAACTAGGTTTTGCTTCTTATCCTTCTCTGCCCCATCAAGCAAGTTGTTTAAGCCAAAAATTGGTTTCTTCATAGCTTCTTTAGTCCAACGATGCAAAACATATTGCCTTGGAATCTCAATCAAGAACTTTCCTTTCATGACAAAGAGAATGTGACGACATAATATTCCAACAGATTCAAACATTTTACAAGAGCATGAAGCATCATTAGAACACAAAACATATGTGACATGATAGCTTTTTTTCCTTGTGTTTTCAACAATTTTATATTGCTCAATCCCTTCTTCTTCTTTGATGGTAATACTACTTATAACAATTGTACAAAGCATGCTTGAATTCCTTTTGGAATATGTAAAATACATTATGAGTGTAAACAAATGCAGCATGCTTTTCCAAGTGCAGGGGGGTGACAAGTTGGGGATGTGTAGTTTTCGAAGTAGCATTCAACTTGTCTTGTGTGTGCCTTTGAGCATCTATTGCAGATTCTAAACGAAACCACAACTCAACCAATAACAAATGCTGATTGGTGAAATTAGTGAAAAAGCTATTTTCACTCTCTGATCTTTGAGTTGTCCTTAAAATCCCACCCATAAAAAGGTCACAAAAGTAGGAAGGAATCCACATATTCCATATATTATACATATTTTTAAACCAATCTTCATTCACTAAATCAAATTCAAACATCACAGACTGCCAACCAATTTCAAATTCTTCTGGTTCAAGGTCTCTATTCCAAACAACTGAGTTCAGTTTATGAAGAAAGTCAGTTTCTAAGCATAATTTGGGCCCTACCTTTTGTGGCACTTTTTTCATAATGTGCCACATACAAAACCTATGTTTTGCCTTATCAAGAACTTTTTCAATTGCCACTTTTATCGCAGGGTCTTGATATGTCATGATACAGGTAGGCTGACAATTATTCATTGCCTTTAAGAAAGTTTCAAATAACCATTCAAAGGATTCAATATCCTCCTTTGCAAGTAAGCCTATCCCAAAAGTCACACACTTACCATGGTGATCAACACCCGTAAATGGGGCAAAAACCATAGAGTATTTGTTGGTGTCAAATGTTGTATCAAATGTAATCATATCACCGAACAACGAATAATTTTTTCTACTAACTGCGTCTGCCCAAAATACTCTTGTCAAGCGTTGATGTTCATCCATACAATGCTCAAAGAAAAAGGTACCTTCACTGTTTTCAGCTTTTTCTTTCAAATTGTTTATAAACATCGAAGCATCTTTCTTTTGTATGTAAGCTTTCAAATCTCGATTAAAGTTCTTGAAATCATTCAATGTTGCACCTATATTATCATAGCTACCAAGATGTTCTTTCATCAACTTATAAGACTTGTTTGGACCAATGTTCAATCTAGAGTTATCAAAAATGAATTTTTTCTGGCCAAGTTTAAGGTTTCCAACATTTTCCAAAAAATTCATTGTTGGGAGAAGCAAGATTGTGGCTATGAGATTCATGAAAGACATAAACCATCTATTTTCCATCTGAACGTTCTCTAAACCCAATCATTGCATTACATCCAACACGATTTATGGTTCTTTTTCTAGCTTTAGGATTTTCATCTTTCTTAGAAACTTTTTCTTTAGTTTCACCATCCTTCGTAAACCCTTGTTTATTACAATGTAAATATTTCAAGTAGACTTTATCACTATCTTTAATTCTCTTTTCAGTACCTAGTCTTACCACAAACCCACCAAATCTAGCATATTGCTTATAAAAATCAACACCTTTAAGTAAGGAATCAAAAAGCATACAAAGTGTAGGCTTTAGTTCAGGGAGACAACACGGTATAAACTCTTTCGTTCCTCTAGGAGTGTAACACACACTTGGGCCCTTTAGTGACGGTAAGTTTTCAGCAACATTGGTAGTTGTAGATGTATTTGAGCAACTACCTTCTTCTGACTCCTCTTGCATTGTCTGCATATAATATCAAATATATGGATTAAAATGGGTACTATAATAAAATAAATATGATCCATTCCATGGTGCAACTAACTGAACACCAACAAAAACAGTCTAAAATATATGGTTATGGTATCATAAAAAAGAGTTACTATATGATATTAAGCAAGTTGTTAGTCATTTAAGCAAATACACAAACACCTTATGTGCAACAATTTCTCCTAGTGTTTAATATCATATATATATATATAATATATATATATATATATATATATATATATATATATATATATACAAAAACGAAAAAAGAGCATATTGTTGATGAGGATTGAAACTACGAGTTGATGAGATTGAAACTAAAAAACAGAGCACTATTATAAAAACAGTCTACAATAATCACATACAAGGATATAACCTACCATGCGCAATCAACTAGAAATTCAGCTTATATACAAGGAAATAATCACAGTTATATCGGTATTGTAAGCCGCAATCAACTAGAAATTCAGCTAAAAACAGAAATTAAAGAATGAAGAACACTTACTAAGATTATTGAGGAAGCCCCAAATTATTGAAGAATCACAAGCCCTCAATTTTGGGAGTAAATAATCAAAGTAGCCCTAAAATTTGACGAATTGAGGAATTAACGATTTGATAACGAGATGAAAAGAGGATTTGCTGAGATTTGCTGAGATTTTGCGTTTTTCAGCAAAATTAACAGAGGAATTGCTTAGATTTGCTGAGATTTTGTGTACCTTGTATTTCAAACATTAGATTATATCATTAATAATCAATGGCTAAGATTTGCTGTTTTTAGTTTTCACCATAAGCCCTGTTTTTAGCGAAACCCTCCCGTACACATAACTTATACATATATACATACATATACATACATATAAATATATATACATACATATACATATATATATATATATATATATATATATATATATATATATATATAATATATTGTTATTTATTTTGACTACTTCATATTTAGATATAATTCGATTAAAACAAAGCTTTTCAACATACTAATAAATAAAAACCTTAAAACTTATTAAAAAAAAAATCAGGTTGTTTAGCACATACTTCCTCCGTTTCTTTATAGTTGCAACAGTTCCCTAAAATGAAAATGTCACAATAGTTGCAACACACTTTAAAAAGAAAGTCTTTATGGTGAAAATTGTACTATTACATTTATTTAAAGCTCATGGCCCACTTGATTATATTTATAATAACATCTTAACCCCATTTTAAGTGTATTAAATCATGTGAGGACCACTTTTCTTAAATACCGTGATAAAGTGTGTGTTGCAACTATAAAGAAACGGAAGAAGTATACTGTTATGTCATATTTATGTTAAGTTAGATATATTTTGTGAATATATTTGTATTTATATTATTAGGAGCTTTGGGCAAATTATGTAATATTGTAAGCCTATACTTACACGATTAATGGTAAAAGCTCATTAAGTCGTTTTCTCCTAAATATTTTCTTAAGTTTAACACACACAGGACAAGGCCATCCTAATTAATGCATTGGTGTCAACATCTTGACAAAATTGTGAATTGAAAAATCAAATTTCATAATTCAAAATACAAATTACGACTAATAAAATGAATGTGCACATATGAAGAAAAAATTACAATTAAACAAAAAAGTTCTTGGGGCTTGCCCCTCTCCTTCAACAACAAAAAAAATAATAATAAAAAAAATAATAATAATAAAAAAATAATAAAAAATAAATAATAATAAAAAAAATTGAAAGTAATATATACATATTCCTTATTTATTACTTCGTATAAATTAATTCTTATATAAATGATTGAACCAGCGACCCTTAGAAAGGATAATAATTGATTTTATCCTTGCATAGCTGAATGCATTAGACCATCTCCAATGGTGAGACTTGAGGGAGTTTTTTTTTAAGAGAGAGAGAGTATTTTTTGCAAAGGATACCAATAAGTTGGTATATAAACTTAGCAACTCTTTGGAGTTGCTAAGTTTAGATACCCAATTTTGACTCTCATTTGACAAAAAGTGTGGGTCCCTTATCAATATTATAATATATTTTGAATTTATTTAAGTTTTAATTTTTTTTTTTGAAAAAAACTTACAATATGGATTTAGTGGGCCATATATTGAAAGTGACATTAGTATACTTTAGAGAGTCTCACCATTGGGAAATTACACTTCACATGAGTTGCTAAATTGAGACATGGGTTGGGTATCACCATTGGACGTAAAAAACAACTCATTTTGTATTTCAATACTTAAAGTTGAGTCTCACCAATAGAGATGGTATTATATTACAAATTCACGTTGGTTGTTTTATACGAGTATTTAACTACTTTATGTAATAAAAAAATTAAAAATAAACATGACGAGTGTTTTCCGTACCCGGTATGGGTTAGCTGCACCCAAAATGCATACTGGATACGCCGGTGGTTTGATATTGCCTTACAAGACTTGATGGGCAAAATATAAGGCACTCTCAATTTCTATTCAAACCTGCAAACGATCATCTAATTTTTAAAATAGATATTGATTTTATTTAAAACTATTATTTTTACTGAACTTAAATTATTTTTTAAAGGCGAATTTTAAAGATGAAGTAAACAAGGCCTAAGAGGTATTATACACAATCGTTAAAATAGGAAACCAGCAAGCACACATGCTAATAACAAACCGGCATTTATTATCAAAAGTAACATCTATAGTACAAGACATCCAAGTTTCATTGGTGAAATTTCATGATGAGTAAGGGCTAAAAACCCTAAATCTAACCAAATTTTAAGGTGAAGTACATAGATTAAAACAACTTAACTACAAAAGCACAACATATATTCAAACATGCTTCATTAAAGTTTATGTAAGATAACAGGGACACCATGTTGGGGTTGAAGAGCTATAAAAGAAACGGAGCATGGGTGTAAGATGGTGCGATCTCAAAACTGAAGCGCTGCAAAATCAAAGATAGAGCCATTTTAGCCTCAGTTAGCGCAAAATTTTGGCCAATGCAAATCCGAGGTCCCCAACCAAACGGGAAGTATGAATTGCTCCCTTTAGTTGCCTTCGCAATCCCTTCTAAAAATCTATCTGGTTTGAATTCTTTGGCATCATTCCCCCAAACTTCGGAATCCAAATGTGCATGGTATATTGAAAAAGAAACTGCCACCCCAGGAGGAACCACCAAATCTCCTAGTTTTGTTTCACCGTCGTATACCCTTCGTGAGGTTGCCACGACTGGCGGATACAACCTGAGCACCTCATATAGTATCATTGTCACCTAATAAAAGCATTTCAAAATAAATCAAGTAAATTAAATAATCTATATATTACAATTATTACAAGAAGTTGTTCAATCAATTAGTTGGGCTCCGACGTTTTCTAAGAAAAAAAAAATTAGTTGGGAAGAGTAGAAGATTTATTATTATTAGTATGAAAGAATAACTAAATAATATTTAAGACATGGACGACTAAAAATGTAACAACATTTATTGGTTTGATATATAAATCATATTTTCTTCGCGAGTTAAATAAAGTTGCAACAACTTGACTAATCATAGATCTTACCGTCTTTAAACGGTTGTTTAAGCCATCAAAATCTGGGATGTTCATGCCAAAGGTTTCAAGAACTTCTTCGCGAGCTCGTGTTTGCCATTCTTGGTGCTTTCCCAGCAAAGCCATTGTCCACGTTAGCAACACCGAGGTGGTTTCTTGGCCAGCTATGTAGAACAATTTGCACTCGTCGATCACCTCTAAGATACTCATTGTGAGATCAAGACGCTTCTTACTACCACTCTTACTCTCACAAGTTAGTAAAGCCTCTTTGGAATTTGAATCCAAGAGTATCCCCAAGAGATCATGTTTGTTTGGTTCTCCAACTTCCATTGCTTGCTTTCTATTATTGATTATCTTCTTCAATAGGGTTTTATTTCAACATCTGTTTTGTCCATTCTTTTCTTGCCCTTCGTTGGCAAATACCTAACAAGTACATCAAATATTATTATCAACCCAAAATGTATGTATATGATGAATAATATGCCAAATGGATTTCTAAGTTGCTTATTATAGACACCTTAAAATGTCTCCCCGACCAAAGCCCGATGACGAAACAACCTTCGTTGCCTAATTTGGTCCGGTTCGCATGATGGATCTAAAAATTATTTGAATAGACCTTTTGTTCTAGCCCACTATTATTTTCCAAGCCCATCTATTCATTTCATTAACCCAAACCCTTTTTTTTAGCCCAAAATCCAAATACCTTAACCCAATTTCATCTTTTCATAATTGCAGCCCAAAACCAAGCAATTTTGATTTTCGTGCCTCATATTTTTTATCCAAATCCTAATTGGCTGGATATCCCTTGAAATAAGCTTCCAAATGATATATCATAATCCCAATTTTGATTTAAAACGAGTAAGATATGATCAAAATACTAAACTCTATCAAAAACTGACACCGTCCCACTATTTCGGCCATATCTTAAATTATACAAAAGATATCAATCTG